TCATAGGAACATAATCAAAGGATATTTTTTCCATGGAAATTTGTTGCACTATGAGAGGGTGTCACTAAATCGAGGGTGTATTTTTTAATACTGGATTCCTGCATAGACATTTGTGGTTATTTTAATTTTTGATTTTTTCCCTCCCATTCCACGCATGGAAAAAAGACTCGCGTTAAAGGTGTGCTAAAAATGATGAAAGAAAAACGTTGCGAAAAATAACATCGATCAACGATTCCGTCTCTTCTTCCTTCAAACCCTGTATTTTTGCTTTTGTGAAAGAAAAGACACCACATGCCACAAAAATAACCCCCGTCGTTTAACCGACAAAGACGAAACCGCCACCACGAGGGATTCTTTCGAAATTGCCGTAAAAAAAGGAGGGGGGAGAAACAAATGTTTGTTTTGTTGGATCTTTGAACATGGAAAAATAACAAGTAGGGGAACAAAAAAAGTGGGTTCGTTGTTGCTTGCATCACACTGGAACAACCCAACATCGTCTGCTGTCTCTTCCTTTTTATTTTGTGAATGGACGATTTTTTTTGTGGGTTCAGGTCTTGGGTTCGCCATTTGACCTGAAAGTGCATCAGAACCTCAATCATCTGATGCCAGAATAATGCGAAGATCATGAAAAATTTGTTTTGAAAATGTGCATGGAATATAAAATGTATTCAACAATGCTCTGAAGGTTGCATATGTTTCTCAAATTCTTTTTTGAAGATGAGCCGCGAATTTCTTTGATACTCTCATGAAATTATGCTTTATGATGATGAAAATGTTTCTACAATTGTTGCTGCAGTTTTAGAAACATGCTGCAAATTTCTGTTACTGTACATATACTCCGAATTTTAAATATGATTGAAAAATTCTTGTAGAAGAGCAGCAAATTTCTCAAATACCCTCATGAATTTGTTTCCAAAAGGTCTGTGATGTACAGTTGACCCCTGCACAACAGACCTTTTGCAGAATGGATTTTTGCACAACAGACTTCCTCTGGAGGCAGTTTTCCCTCCTGTGCAATGGACTAAATCTGCATCACAGCCCTAAAAATAATTCCAAAGCCTTTCTAAACCACAAATTAATATATAACCTCCTTTTCTTTCCTCTGGAAAAGAACGAACGCGTTTGTAAGGGAAGAAAAGATACGGGATTTCAGTCTCTCAATTATTCAGAAAGCAACGCCGTCTCTTCTCTCTATCGCTAATCTTTCCTTCGACGTCTTTGTTCCATTCGTGTGAATATTCAATCTCTCTCCCTTGCAAAATAAATAAATTAAAAGAAAAGCTACACGCATATATGGGAACACGCGAGAAAAAAAAAAGAAAAAGAAAGGCGCCTCCGAAATGTTTCATCTCACGGAAGAAGTCGGCAATAAGGGTCACTCATGTGTTCAGCAGGGCAAAGTTCCCTTCGCCGGTGGGCATGAAATAAAAAAGAATAAAAAATAAAAAAACATTCTCTTTTTTTGTCATGAGATGTTAACATTTCGTTATATACACAACCCGGTCATTATCGCAAGGGAAGGAAACTTGACTGTGCATGGGATTCCGATTCTTGAGAAAAAAAAAAAAAACATATATTCCAGGGGGGTAAAAGAGTGGTTTGGGTAAAAGTTTAGAGACCCCTTGTTATATTTTGTGTGTGTGTGTGTGTGAAAAAATGGACGGTTTGTGGTGGGTTTTGATGAATGAGTTTACCTACAGCATAGACAGCAAGCTGGAGAAGAATCCAAAATGCACCTGGCAATATGGCAGTGAAGGGAATTGATGCTTATTGCTCACTTGGGATCATCAATGAAGTTGTCATTGCCCTTTCCAACCCACAACTGTTTCAAACTTAATTACTCTATTGTATTATTACTGTGTTTCATTTTTGAACAAACTTTTTTACTGAAACAGCTGCTGTGGACCAACATATGGACCCCTTTATTATTTAAAATTGATGCACCTTGAATGCTTCAAGGAAATCATACAATTGATAATCCTGTACATTCCACCCTTTTAGAATGGACTTAATTCATTCAACAGACTAGTCTGTTGTGTGAAAAGTCTGTTATGCAAAATTAATTATTAAAAATTAATTTTGTACTTATTACCTTTAATTTTAAACCTACAGAAGTCTGATAGGCAGATTTTTTCCTTGGTGTCAGAGGAAAAACTGGTCTGTTGTGCAAAAATATGTTGTGCAGGACATGCAGAATCCCCCCCCCCAAATTTCATACTTCTGGCACCAAGATGTCTTTGACTTGACTTTTGTTGGGTAAATCCCAGGCCTCAAACTTTTTCTTGTCATTGACCACAGTACTGGATCAGGGACAAGACAAAATAAATTAATAAAATCCCAATTCTACCACAAGCCTAACACCATTCCACTGCTCACTGTTGTTTGAAACAGTTGTGTCCAGAAAAACGCTTTGCTGAGTGGTTCAGTGTTTGTTCTTTTATTTTGAATTTTTGTTCATGAAAGATTTAAAAACCTGTTGGGACAATTCAAAATACATTCTAAATTTATAATGAGGAATTATACTGAGAATCCCAAGCCCTTGCCCCAGGCTGAGTTTGTTTTTTGCTTCCACTAATGTTTCTATCCACAGCCTTTATTTGCATACTTGTGTTGTGGTGACCTTTGTCCCCAAACATATCATGTGAACCTTTTTTTCTCTATAAATTGAGTGGGAAAAATGGTGTGCGCATCAAAGACTGGTTTAAGTTCTTCAAAATTTTTTCAAAGTTTAGATTTGCATCATATTCATTTGTGATGGAAAATTTTGGACCAATTTTATCAGGAATACGGTTTGAAGAGAAACAATTTTCTCATGGAAATATTTGAAATTCGTTGATTTCAAGATCAATTCGTAAATTCAAATCTTGGCAGTTTTACTTTATTAAATGCTTCAATTTCAGAGTCACTAAAAATGGGGAACGTGTCTTATTCATGGATGAAATTTTATAACAAATTTTGACTGAAAAACCCTGGTGTGCATCTTACTCAAATGGCACGTGATACTGAAGTACTGTATAAATATGGTTCTCTGATCCCAGTTATTTGTTTCTTTCTCATTCTTGAATTTGTCATGCATTACAAACTGTTCCAGGCATTAGGCATATTGAACGCAGAATCAACTTTAACCTCAACTTACAACCTAAATAAAAAAAATCATGGGAAGCAAAAAAAGGATTTGCTAGTTGGACCTGCATTATAAACGATTGATGAAAGCTTAAAAACATACAATTTCTTGCTTGGAAAGTACGTCAGCAGAGGCAACGGTTAGGCAAGATCCCAATTTATGAATAAATATATTTTTTCATATTGGCAGAATTGTAATAAAGAATTACAAAAGGAGGCAAAAAAGGTGAAACATCCAAAAATAAAACGCATCAATTAGCTGTGGGGTTCAGCTGGGGATTTCCTTAAGGAAATCCGAAAAGATAAAATATAATTTCATTTCTTTACCTTTCACCTTTTCCAGATGTTTCACCTTTTTCGCCTCCTTTTGTAATTCTTTATTAAAAGAATTGTTTGTCGAAGGGGAAACCAAACATGGAAACCAAATTTCCGCGCTACCCCAGCAACAACAAAAAAAAGAAGCCCTCCTGTTAATTTCAGAACCAGGGCAACAAGAACAAATACTAATAGGCCATACTAGTGCGAAAATAGGGGAAAAGGAATAAGAAAAAAAAGAAAAAAAGAAATATTACGTCAGAAATAACGCCAAATGCAAAAGAAGAAGCCCGTCAAAAGCTCGAGGGGGGCAAGAAAACAAGGGCTGAAGTTGGCAAATTGGTCGCCTGAGTGGCGTCATGGTGCTTTTCTGATTGACAACCCACGGGATGGGTTCCAACTGTGTCCTCCACTGACAACTGCCACCACCAAAAGGCATTTCCCGATCTTTAGCCCCAATATCGTATATGTTTTTTTCTCTGTGCCAAAATCTGCTTTGCTTTCAGGCCTCCAGTTGAGGTTGTTGAACTTTCAGGACTGATTTACACCAGAAAACACTTTACCCAGGACGGGAAAGAAAACAGGCTTCAAGATTACTCGCACATTTGCAAAAAACAATGAAATTATTTTTTTCTGTGCGTGTGAAAAGAATCGGGAAATAGGACAGACTTCAATTTATTACTCTGTACAGTACTTCATCCGCTATGAACAATGAGTGCTGCATAAAAAAAAAATCCCATGATAAATTGCAAGTCAGAAAAAAATCATAAGAGAAGCCGAAGACTTCGTCTTTATAGACTGAAAATACATTTCTGGAATCCTGATGAAGGCATGAAAATAAAATGACTAGCGCAATTTTTTTAATGAAAAATATTTCTCAAATATTTCGCAAATATGTTTAAAAAAAAGGTTTTCACATCAGCGAACAATGATTATCCATCTGTATTCATTATTTATCTAACTCACAATCAAACAAACAATCATAGGTGATTGATCAATCATGAAGGAATTATATATTTTAGCCGAAAGAAGAGAGACACAATATCTAGCGACAGGTTTCAGATTGATTCATATTATTTCACTGAATCAATCAATTTAATGCTTCCATTTTTGATGACGAGGAGTCTCACATTTTTTGGCAATGTGTAAAAAAGATTCGAAATTTAACTTGTGTGGAGGGTCTAAAATAGTTGAACTGATGAATCGAATATTCATTTTAATTGTGAATCATAGAGACTATCATCAAATCAACTGCAAATGTGATTTCTCGACTCATTTAATGGCCGAAATTGGGTTCAAAATTTGAAGCACTCCAATATAAATTTTTATTTTCATGATGAGCCATTAAAAATTGTAATTCTGTGACAAACGTTTTTTCTTAACAAAATTATTACTGCCGAGATAGAATTTGTGTTTTTCAATTTTTTCGCAGGCTCAGCATATATTCACAAACTTATTGATTTTACTGTTTTTTCTTCAGCTTACGAGTTAGAAATTTTCTGAGGACTATTAATTACAGTACAGTACTTCTTTTTCCTTTTATTGCTTATTTTTCTAGATTTGACCCACCGCAGAAAAGTAAACCCGCAAAACAAGGGTAATCGGAGTCCAAGTATATTTTCTTTAATGTTCGGATTGGGACACCAAGTAATTAGCCCGGATAATTAGATTTATTTTGGAAAAGACGCGGGAAACAAGCTTAAATTGATTACAGACATTTGGAGACACATTCAATTTGTATAAATCGAATTCTATCCTCGCAGTATATTTTATTTTTCCAATCCTCCAGGCAAAGCAAACCTGTCTATCATTAATTATCTGGAAAATGGAAATTCCACGGTATCCATTTATTATACCTGGTTGAAAACACACATTAATCAACCCGGATAATCGAATTTCCACCGTAAAACACGTACACGGGAACTTTAAAACAAAAGACCTTCATGGTCCCAGTCAATTTTAAGAACTCCGAATTTTATCGACTAGTTTTTTTTTATTTTTTTCGCGGAAATAGTACACCTGGTCCTTGATCAAGTTAATCATCCTTCAGCGGTACTTTATTATCTGCATTAAACCACTCGATAGACAGCTGGGGTAATTGAAATTTTCCAGTGAAACACAAGGACTTTTTCGAAAGAGTTTTCTTGGGTTCCACTTCTGTTGAATACTGGGAGTTCTACTAGATTTTTTGAAACTCTGAAATCATCACGAATATACAGAATTTTTAAAAAACTCGAAAAAGACCGGAAGAAAAAATAGAGGAGGGGAATTTTTTTTTTCCCAATGGGGTTCCATTTAGTTTGGGTACTCCGAGTTCTACGCAGTACATTGGGTGTATTTTTGATACATCGGTAAGTTTAAATGCTAAATTTAACGCCGATAATTGCAGTTCTGCTGTAGGAATTAATAATAAATAAAATATGTACAAATTAAAAGATTTACAAGAGGCTTTTAGCTTCCAAATTGGCTCGTTTGTCTGGGTATATTATACCGCATTTTCTGATGCCCTGAAATCAACCCGAATATGCAGAATTTTTTCAAAAAACCTCTAAAAAGACATGAAGAAAAATATAGAGGAGGGAAATTTCACGAAGTTTTTTTTTTTTACCCCTGGGGTTCCATTTAGTTTGGGTACTTCGAGTTATTCGCAGCATATTGGGTGTATTTTCGATATACCGGTCAATTTGAACGCAACAATCAGCCCAGATAATCGGATTCCTGCTGCAGGAAATAATAATAAATTTAATGTTTACGTATTTTAACATTTACAAAAGGCTTTCAGCTTCCAAAACGGCTCTTTTGCCTTGGATTTTCTGAAACTCTGGAATCAGCGGGTTCCATTTCTGCTGAATGCCAATAAAACTTTTACTCAATTTTCTGAAGCTCTAAAATCAGCCCAAATAAGCAGAATAAACAAAATCGAAATATACCTGATGGAAAAAAATACGAGGAAAATTTAACAAAGTGTTTTGCCCCTCTGCTGGGGTTATATTCAGTCTGATTCCTCGGAGCTCTACATATACACGCAGTAAACTGGGGGTATTTTCGATAAATCGGTCGATTTAAACGCTACAATCGGGCCAGACGATCGGAAAATAATAATAATAGCGGGAAATGCGTATATAATATAACATTTACAAGAGGCCCTTGGCTTCCAAATCGGCTCGTTTGCGACACTCTCCAGCGTAGATGTGATTAATTTCGGCGGCGTCCAGTGGGGACAAATAAGGTCGGGCCCAGATCGGGAGGATCATCTGGGCCTGGTTCGGCGGCTTCTGGAGGATCGTAGGCAGGGGATGACCTGTTTCGTCGACGATCCCAAAGGCATGGGTGTCGTAGTGCATGATGGAGTCCAGGTCGTAGGGGATCCCGGTGTCGACCACTTTGTGCGGTGGGAATTTCGAGAACTGATGCGCCTCTATGTCTGTTGGATGATCATTAGCACAGTGAAATATCATGGCAACAAAGCCTTTTTTTCATCAATTTTTTTGTCATCTAGGTCTATTATAGTACAAAAGAAAATCCAAAAAAAAACAGAAATAATTTTGTGGAAAAAATGACATCACCTAATTACATTTTGAATGAATGCTTAAGACTTGGAAATTAGTAAATTTTCTCCTTATGCTAATTACGGTTCATTAACTGCTGCAATTGCTTCAATTTTGGCTTATGCTGCAACTCTTGTTACTGATATTTTGTTTTCAATGTCAGGAAAAGAAGGGGTATATGCATACATATCAGTTGTGCAGTTGTATTTTGTGGAATGTATTTTATTGCACATGGCAAGAAAGCCATGGGGACCAGAAAAATTGCTTTGTTGTAAATAAACATTTGCTAATCTGTAAATTGTTTAATATTATATGGCTATGTGTTGTGGACAATGGTCACCGCAAAATAATACTGGCTGTGTGGATGAAGAAAATTAGAAATAGGGTACAAATGACCACAATATAATTTGATGTGGAGTGTTTTAGTAAATGAATAAACAAGTAAATCAGACTGGGACTGGATCGGGATTCCTATTGTAATTCCTAAGTTAACAGAGTAAATTGTATTTCAAATAAATACACAAATAAACGACTTCACGAGCTTGGGCTTGTAACAAGACTTGATTAACGCACAGCTAAACTGAATCTGAGAGAGTTCTGGTTAAAAGAGCGGCTTATATTAACAATTATAATGCAAACCTTCACAAGGTTTTAATGTAGAAATGATAAGGTGAAAAGCTATTGTCAAGGATGCTGCGGTGCCAGGATGTTCCTGGCACTGCAATTTTGAGGAGGGGGGAAAAAATNTATATTAACAATTATAATGCAAACCTTCACAAGGTTTTAATGTAGAAATGATAAGGTGAAAAGCTATTGTCAAGGATGCTGCGGTGCCAGGATGTTCCTGGCACTGCAATTTTGAGGAGGGGGGAAAAAATTCTAAGAATGAGGTAAATTAAAGTATTTTATTGTACATGGCGTGCATGCCCAACAACACAGAATCAGCCTGGGACAAGGCTGAGGATTCATGTTAGAATCTGTACTTTAACTTCAAACTGTATTTCAGATGACTGTCCCAAAAAGGCAAAGATTTGAACAAGTCACAAAAGATATTGAGATATTAATTAACATCAAATCTTTAAAAATTCTGTCCTATGGGTCATTTTTCCCCACTGAAAATTTTGCAGTCTAAGATATTATCTCTATATGGGTCTTTTGTCAAGATTTTACTCAATGTCCTCTACTCACAAATCTTGTTGACAAATGTATAAATAACCTGGGAATGATTTCAAACCATCAAAGTCTGATTTTCAACTCATGAATCAAGTTTATAAAGATTTGTATCTTTGTTCATGAAATACAAGTCCCCATAAGGGTTTTGCAAAATTTCAAGAGAATTTATGCTTTATTAGATCCCAGAGCACAAGATAAGCAATTTCCAAGCCTGACCTCAAATTCTGGGCCATAACTGCTACATTGAGTGCAAGTGTGGAATCATTGGTTCTCAAACATGAGCAATCTCTAATCATTAACCCAGTTGAATAATAAAAAAATTAATGATGCTCAGTTGTGACTGCCCCCTGCTGTAAATTTATAATTTTTTCTCTGAAAACTGCATTGCAATAATGTAGCATCACATCTCTGTCAAGATTTGACAAAAACTGGGGATGATTCAACCCTCTCAAAAATCTGTTTGGTGGCTTTAAAACGATAAAATGGAATTCAGATTCAGATTCTTGTTCAAGAACTAGTCATTTCCACAAGGTTCTAATAAAAATTGAAAAAAGTGTTCAGTTAGGTTCAATAATAATAATAATATTTTAAAAATGACATACCTGGCCTGACATTTCTATAAAGAACATCAATATAGTTGTCTCTGTCTGGTCTTTGGTGTTCATGGTAAAAGCCGATGTTGTGGACCAGTTCGTGCAAAATCACGCCCTTGTCCCAGCACTCGGGTTTTTGCAAATTCATCACTTGACTTCTCCTCGTGTCCATGCCAACCGAAGACCAGCACCTTCGTCAAAACAAATTTTATCAATTCTATCACACACCTTTTCGTAAAATGCAAAAAATTACCCTCCAAGAGGATTCGTCGCTGTGAAATGAACAAAGTTTTTGACACCATGATCAGATTTCAGTCGCTGGAATCTGACGCAAGTTTTCTTCTCGATTTCGTCCATCGCTTCGTGAATTAAATCCATCGCACCGTCTTAAATTAGATTCCATGAATTATTATTTTATTAATGTTCCTACTTTATAAAGTTAGTGAATAACTAAGCAGATGCCACTTGCCTTACTAAGGTACCCAGGTCATCCACATTACGAAGTAGCCTAGACCTAGTAAAACTTTGACAACTTCAGCTTGCTTTAGAGATCTCCGTTAATGACCTTTTTTTGATGATTACCTCGAGAAAGACGCAAGTTTTAAATTTCTCGAAATGACTTGTAATTGTTGCGTTGCTGTGAGAAAATCGTCCTTTATTTTTCATTCATCTTTCGGGGAAACGTGAGGAAACATCAATGCTTTTGAAGCACAGGATTCTCTGAAATCAGGCCGACATCTTACCTTGGGTTTATTTTCCAAAGATAGCCTATAAGCCTCCGTGTCAGGGCCCTAATTATCCCTGGGAATTAGTTCAGACTGTAGGAAATCCAGTAGATAATCTTCTCAAGCGTAAGAGACAGTGTAAATAAGGCTGGATTCCGGGTGACAAGGAAATCCTTTGCAATATTCTTGAAGTACTGAAGGTCTTAGTGAGACTTAGGGGATTCCATTGCTTTCTGTTAATGACTTTTCGTAATATAAGAGACAGTGTAAATAAGGCTGGATTCCGGGTGACAAGGAAATCCTTTGCAATATTCTTGAAGTACTGAAGGTCTTAGTGAGACTTAGGGGATTCCATTGCTTTCTGTTTTACTGAAAAGCATTAGAGCCTCTTTGTACTTGCTGTTTATAATTGAGTTGGGTTTAAATTTTAAGGACCAAGAAGTTATTACAGTTTACCTTTGGCTTTACTCTATGTTTTCGTTGTAACTTATTAGTTTCAGAAAATTTGGGTTGAAATTAGCATGATGTGTCATTGAACATTAATTTAGAAACTTCAATGCACTCTGAGGGTTTCAACTCTATCTCTATCTAAGAATTTCCGAGAACACCTTATCTTATAACTAGTCTCTAATTTCTGTGGGAGAATGGATGCTGATGCTTCCGATGAGAAATGAATAAATAAAATGCGTAACTATTCTGGCGAGGAAAAGAAAATGGTGAAATCAGTTGAACTCTGTACCTAGTTCCACGCATTGACCATCAGCAAACTTTTAAAACAAAAGATGGACAGAATGGTATGCGAAGAAAAATATACTTTTGCATACTTTCTTGAATAACTTCCAATATTTCCCCCATTTTTTAGAGTACAATAAAACCTGATAATTTTCTTGGGAAAAACGTGAGATTTTTGCTTTCTTATGGTCAACATAGTGTGGGTTGATGTTCAGTGAAACGCAAGACAGACGAAAATCTAGAGTTAGACTTAGTAGTAGGTTGGAAGTGAAAACGTCAGTGGTTGCCGAAGTGTTTCCTCAGAAAAATCCGGTAGTTATCGCTTTTTCATTTGCCGGAAATATTCTAGGGTTTTAAAATTAAGAAAGCCTTCATTCACATAAAAATATTAAGGAAGTGCAGAAATTTGGATTGGAATTCGTGTTGGATTTCCTGGAGCGATGCGGGATGTTATTTTGTGGAATATTGTGAGGTGATTAATTACCAGAGATTTAAAGTTAGTAAAATAAATAGAAAGTCATACATTATACCCAAAGAATACAAAACAAATTATGAAAATATTTTGCAACTCGAGCATGATTTTCCCCCAAGTTATGATTGAAAAATATTCAACCTCAATCACAAACGAGTGTTTGACACAGATTATTTCAGAATTTCACCATGTCATTGTAGGAGGCGATTTTGAATCATGGCAATTTCAAGCTGTCAAATTACTTCAATTCAAACATTTTTGGCGGAAGCAGCAAAATTTATTTTTGGTTACCTTTCTTTCTCACAATCTGTGCCTTGATTGTGAAAATTTAAAAGTGCAAACTCAAAGCTTGACGAAATTCATAAATTTTTCATTTGAAAATTATTTCAGGATCGACCGATTTTGTTGCAGGAGCCAAATTTTCCCTCGATTTTTTGGTTGCCCTTTTAATTAAAAAAATAATAGTTAACTCCTATAACAAAGTTATTTCATCTTGAAATAATTTTCATAGAAAAATGCATGAATTTTGGCAAGTTTTGAGCTTCAAAATTTTTAAAACCAATGCACAGATTGTAGCAAAAGGTCATCAACCAATTTTTGCATTCATTTATTATTCATTGACAATGTCTCACACATTGGGGACATTAATGGGGAATGGAAAAAAAGAGGGGAAACACATTTGGATTACTCACTGATCTGAAAAGAGAAATGCTATTGACCACGTCAGGTGGTTTGTACGGCTGTAATAAGTTTCTCGCCATCTCGAGTCGGCCACCGTTCGGACGGCGTCCGAAGTTCCGGCGGCGGTACTGTCGTCCTTATTCGTGTCTGTCCTTGTATGACCGTCGGTCCTCACTCCTGGCACACCAAGGGATCTCGCATCTAGTCTCGCTCATCGAAGCCCGTCCTTCTTTCTTTTCTTGTTTGCGAGCCTAATTCAGTAAAAAATTCTTTCTTCTTTGTTCGTTAAGAGAACGAAAAAAGAAAATGGAGGAAAAAAGAAGAAAGAGAGAGAGAGAGAGAAGCGATGGATAATCAGCACCATGTGCATCAGTTTATGTATTTCTCTCAAACTTATTCAAAAAAAAAAAAAGAAGACGACTCCAAAATAAGAGACATAAAGGGTCGAAAACTACAAGACCATGATGGACGTCCGCGGACCTCAGCGTAGTTTCGAATGCGAGTAATTGAATCAAGACCAGCAATTACTCGCGCTTTTTCACAGATGAGAACAGAGATTTCAAAACGTGAGTGCTGAGAAGGGGTTGTCATAAATTTAAAAATACAGCAAATATATTTTTTAATTTTTTCTTCAGTGCCTCTGGGAAGAAAAAATATCTGCTACTGTTTAAAAAAAAAAAAACAGGTGGTGCCCCGCAATTTGACTCTAAGCCTTTCCTGGACTATAAGATTGAATTGCAAAGCAACATGAATTGCAATGATTTCTACATTTTATTTGACCTTTTTGCCCATCTCTGTGGTCACTTAGCAGGGCCTAGGTTGAATTGTAAGCCAACCTCCCAGCAAATTTGGCTGTCAAATTGCAGGAAAGTTGAATTGCAAGGTACCAAATGTCCTATTTTTTTTTTTACTATGTGCACTTTGGAGTAAGATGCAGATAGCCTTGATTTCTCAGCCTAAAATTTTGATAAAATCTCATCCCAATTCCCAAGTAATATTTGAACCTCATATTTAATGACTGAAGAACTGCAAAAATTATAGATTAAGATATACACCAAAATTATAATTTTCGCAGTAATTGGACCTTTATCCAATAAATGTAATTTCTTTCCTTTTAAAAAATGTGATTTTGAAACTATTCCAAAATTTTCCATTAGAATCAAGTGTAACATTTTGAAAATTTTATACCTGCTCAAGACACACACCCTCTTTTTCCCTCTAAATTTTAGAAAAAAAGTTGTGCCTGGTACTTGAGTAAATTTGACTAATGAACATTACTTTCTCTTGGTGCCATCCAAAAAAATATTTTTGGTATTTCTTGTATCACTTCCTTCACTACACATCTTAAAAATTAAATATGTTTCCATATTGACTTGATAAAAAATAAAGCAGATTGAAATATGACAAGACCCTGGCTATAAAAGTGTCAGGCTTATGAAGTAACTTTTATTCTACTGGGGGATCCTTTCCTCCTTCTCTCGATTTTCGGAATACCAACAAAGCATTTTCAAAGCGACGATAGGATTTGTCCCAAGGAGTTAATTGGGTCCCCCCAGGGGACTTAATAAGCGTGTGACAACCAACAGCAAGGATTTAATTGACCGTCTCAGCGCTGAAGAGCTCCATTAATTTCCGTGTCTGTGGGCAGAAGTCGACTATTTTTGTTCACTAATTTTATCTCCATGTTTTGTTGATTTTCTTCATCAAACGGAATTAATTTTCAAGTGATTGAAGAAGGGGGTTGTTGACTCTCGGATATATTCCGAAAACCTGCTTATTTACATACGTCAGGAGTTCTGCGAGAGGTACTAAAAGTGTTGGCGTCAGTACTTTGAATTTTAAATTTTTGTCACAAAAGAGTGTTTACGGTCTCAGTTATACTTGATGTGTGAGTGTATTAGAATCCTGTTTTCACGAAAATATTGCAAATGTGAATGAGTAAGGCTTCGGCGTGAGTAAAATTTCGGAGACTTTTTAAGCCCGGCCACAAAATTTGCTTCTATAGTCGATTTGAGGAAAATATACTGTACTCTTAAATGATGGGTCGCCTAATTTTATAGATTATTATTTAAAAAAAAGATTTGTTTACAAAAATTTGAGTTGAAAACAGTTGAAAATTCCAGCAGCCAATATTTTATGTGTAACCACAAATTGGATTTCTTCAATTATAAAAAAATTAAATTCATTTTTAAACTTGATGCTCGCTTAAAGATTAATCGCCATGCAGACCAAATATCTTCTAAATTACTTGTCAAATTTTCTCAATAACAAAAATTGATAAAACATGAATACATTGCCAACTGCTGGTTGGAGAGGACAAAACTACAAGGGATATCTCAAAAGTTTGCAAATTATGTTGGGAATTTTTCAATTATGAATTAAAGGGAAATATTTTTTTATACAGACCACATTTTGAAATGTCATACTATAAAATACCATCATTAGGGCAGCAGATCGTTGAGAGTGAACTCAATCAATACTGTATGAGGAAAAATTGATTTAAACAAAAGTACCCTGATTTTTGTATGTTCTACAACTTTGAGGTCTGTTCAAATGTTGAAAAATATGAAACAAAGATTATTGGCAGTGATTTTCCCCTAGATCATACAATCATGTTCCAAAGAATGATGATTTTTCCATTCTTGACCATTTTCATCAGTGATGCTGATTGTAAAAGTTGAACTAAAATTGAAATTTCTGTGCAAGAAATTGCCAAAACCAGGTTAAGTTATGTTATTTTTAAGAAAACGTTTACTCGTCTAGTGACGAAGTTCATAACGACTAGTAGAC